TCAAAAAGCAGCAAATAAACAAGTCTCTGAACACGATCACGGTGCAGAAATGGAATTGATATCTGTACTGTACTTTGATTTTTCGGGCTGTTCCTTTCCTGGTCCCACTAAAGGCACAGTGTATGGCCACTCCATTCCTTAGGTAGCAGAAAGCTCTTCCCCTGCCCTGGACCTGCCCAGGCACAATATTTACTTCCACACATCTGGATCATTTCAAACCCTCAGCAGAGACGGCTACAAAACAACCTGGACTGGGAACAAAGCTATTAGCCCCACTTATGCCACAGCCAATTAAGTAATATTTAATACAGGAGAAAGCAAGAAGCTAATGAAAGGCAGCACTAATGCAAAGCCTCAGCAGCTCCTGCAGGAGAACAGAGCCACGCCTTGGCTCGTGTTCCACGCTGCAGGCCCTGTCTCTGTGACAGGGCAGGTGAGGCAGGACACTCACACACATCCCAGACTGGTTTTTCCCCCACTGGTGTGAGGTCCTTACTCAACCCTCTTTGTGTATTGTTTCTATTTCCGACTTTGTCTTTCCCAGTGATTCAAAGAATTAACAATAGCAACCCCAGAGCCACTCGAAAGTGGGTGGAATAATGAGCTCCCTTCAAAGATATTAACACACACACACCACACAGTAACTGATGCTGCAGAGCCTCAAAGAGCATCTGTCAGCAGTGAACGGCACAGCCTCAGGCACCAACAGGCTTTTTAGCATTCCTCAAAATTCCCTGGGCATGTTCCATCCCTCATCCCTTGCCATTAGATCCTAACACTCCCCCAGTGGCCGGGGCCCAGAAGCCACAGCACTAGAAGGCCTCTGGCCTCGCTCATGACAGGCTGTGCCCAGACTTCTGTGATGTTATTTCTCGAAACTCCTCAAGGCATCACTTTATCTGAGACATGTCAGAGGAGAAGCTGAAGTGTGCAGTGGAGCACAGCAGCCCTTTATTTAGGGGAAAAAGGGTTTTTAACAATGCAAGTCCCCTGTCCTTAGGTAACCTGCTGCCAGGTTGGGAAGCCCAGGTTGAGCAGTGAAACATTTCTCTTCAGCATTATATCAACGACTGACATTAATTTTTTTTCCAAGCAGAAGCACGGATTGCTCCTTTCACTCTTCCACTTGCTTCTGTACAAACCAGCTTCCTAAATGTAAACCAGCAACAAGATACTTATCACCAAACACCACACAGAACAAAATGAATTTTTTAATATGCTTTTCCCTGAAAGGATCAATTAACAGAAACACAAAGGGCTGATCCTGGCACACAAAGCAGAGTCTGAGAGAAGAGGGAGGTGATTTTCTCAAGTTATGAGAGAAGTGTGCAGACATTTCATGCAGGACTTTTTTAATCCCTTCTCCCTCCAGAAGTGTCCTCCAGTAAATCAAAGACACCTGAAACAGAGGGCTATGGTCTGGACAGGACAAAGCACCTGATTAACATCTCTGTTTCTGTTCCTTTATCATTTCAGTTTTATAAAGGAGGCTCTCACCACAGCATTTGACAGGAGCTTCCTCGGTGGGAACAACCAATTTCCTAACTGTGAACACAAAACACTGTGCAAGAGCCAAACAGCATCACAGGATTATCCCACCCCTTATTTCACATTTAGGAGAACAGACAGCATCTATCAGATTGGAATAACTTGGAAAAAATCCAGTATACTTCTAACAGCCTGGAGTTCAAGCTGAGTGTGCTGTGTAGCAGATCCATAAGGAGTAGGCACAAAGTGGGAGAAGTTACTCCATGGGGTACAAAACCATGAAAGACTCACAGCTTTCACGAGCAAAAGGATTCATTTTCCAAAAGAAAGGGAGAGAATGAGGTACTGGAAGTGAAAGTTGGGAAAACACAGCAGGATCAAGTTGTTCTTGGAATGTCTGGCTTTCCCTCAGACTTTGAACTGGCTCTGGGAAACACCACAGGGACTGAAGTGTTGGAAAGTAAACACGACGTGTCAAACCCGGGAAGGAACTAATGCTGTTCTGCCACCTCATCCTTCCACTCGGCCCATGATGCAGCTCCAGCATTCCCTGGAAAACTGGAAAATGCACAGAGCAAGTCTGCCCAGAACAGTGACTGTGTTAACCACCTCATCCCTCTTACCTCACAGCCTTCAGCTGCAGTGGTTTAAACTCAAAGTAACTGGCTCAGCCTTGGACACAGACCAGGAAGGACAACGGGAATGCCTCGGACAGGGATTCCATCCTGCAGAGAACCTGGGAGCTGCAGGCCAGGCAGCTCCAGCACCCTCAGCTCCTCTGTGAGCTGAGCAGGACACAGAATGTATCAATAAAGAGCTGTAGCCTCCCTTGGGTGTGAGATTTGAGGTCCCAGCAACACGGGGGGAATCACAAACCCAAGAAGCAAGAGCACAGTGGGGCTGTCAAAGAGCTGCACTGAGGAACCCACGTGTGAGATGAGGGGAGAAGCACCTGGTCCATCCCCCACTGCAGACACAGCCTGGAGGGGACAGGGAAACACAAACCACTCACCTGCAATGGGACCTGTGCAGGAAGGGGAAAGGAATAAACCTTCCTTGCCCACAAAGACAAGGGGGAAAAGTGATGGCAGATTTTTCCATATGATTAAATTCCAAAAGACAAAACTCAACACCTATAAAAATAACTAAATAAAATAACCAGAGCAAAAAATCACACCTTCATTTCTTTCTGTGTTGTTTTCATCTAACAACCACTGTCCTTTCCAGAGACAACTCTTCACGGAATAACTCCTGTTGAGCTGAGACCAACAGCCAACGTCCTCCCCACCACACTGCTGTTTGTTTAAAACAAATTTACAGTTCTGAACAGGACAGACTGTGTGTCTTAAGCTTAAACACTTATCCTTGAGACACACAACTGTTGGTTGAACAACTACATTCAGTACTGGAGCAACATTTCATAGATACAATGAACAATGGAAGCACTGTAGGAGAAAGAATTTTTGCAGCTACTTCCTCCAAAGGAGCATTCTGATTTTGTAACATCACCTGAAAGTCAGCAAATGTCCCTGACCACTGCCTGGGAAGCATTTAATCCAGCCCTAAAGCTCAACAGCAGGTTTCCAGCTGAGCCAGGAAAAGGCACAGTCCTGTGCTGTTTGCAGCCACTCCCATGGAATTAAGCAAACCCTTTGAAGGATTCCCAAACAGTCTGTGCCACAGAACACACACATTTCACCAGTGCAACGCCTTAATGAGCTGAACACACCCTGAATTTGGGGGTTAATTTATGCTGTGCTCATGAGGATATAAAAAGGAATTATCCCTACAGTTATCTATTTTGAAATCTTATCACTTGTACTCCAAATTAAAGAGTTTAAAATGTATTGTGAGAGACAACACTTTTGCTCTGACGGCACAAAATCCCAGAATGTGAATACATTGAGTAACAACTTCCTTCAAATACACAGAGCCCTATAAAGTTATCCAAGCAGTGTTCTTTCCTGACTCCAAAGGACACCAAAGCCAATGTATTTTAATCATTTCTTGTCACAGACTGAAAACAAGCTCGGAGTGGCTCATGATGCAGAGGAATCTGCTCATTCTGCACTTGTGCTTTTTAGGAAGCTGTTTGTGACAGAATTGTTTTACAAAGGAGAACAGCACGTTCAATTCTTCTCAAAGAACTGGGGTCACTAGTCCTGGACCAGCCTGGACCTTCATCAGGGGGATCCTCAGAGATCTGAGAGTTAATGAAACATTTTCTGCCCTAAGCACAAAAGAATAAAGCAGGTTTACTGAAAGCAGCACAACACACAAACTGCTGTGGGGAGTGCTCATAGGAACACAGCTCACCAGGGCCAGGTTTGGGGAGAATATTAGACTCATAACAAATCCGTACAGAAATGGTTTTTCCACTTCTCTGTCACGTTTCCCACATTTTGCAGGGCAGGGTTTTCCTCTGCCACCAAACCAATGCCCATAAATTTAACTTACACTAAAATAAACTTGATTCCATGATCCCGATGGGTCCCTTCCAACTCAGCATATTCTATAAAAAAATAGAAGTTTCCAAGTGTAACAACACCTTGTTCTGTGCACAAGGGACTTAAAAACCATTTGAGCAGTCCAGAGATTTTGACAGTTCTATCTTGTGTTTCAGCCCAGCAGCACCAGCAATGAAAAAATCTGTTTTCCAAGTATTTAATCTAGTTACACGTTCACAACTTTTCCAGATGCTTTGGACAGCTGATACCACTTGGATATTGTATTTGTATAAACAGACATTGTAGTCTTATTTTTTTCAGCCTGTTACTACCAAGAGCAACTCCCCAACACCCCAGCAAAGCCCAAGTGTTACACCAGACATAAAAAAAGCTTCTCTCAGGTGGTGATTTACTTGAAGATGAACATCAGTGACATCCTCAGTGCCCGTTACCTCCCAGTCACCATGTGACACCTCGCTGTGGAGTCTCACATAACACATTCTTGATGACTAATTATTTCACCTATACTAATTTCCTGATCACGTGCCTCTCATACATGAGGGATAACAGGCCGACACATACAACTGATTGCTGCTTAGAAAGAGCTCTGAGAGAAGGACATTTCAGTCAGAAGATGCACAACACAAATAACCTCAAAGCTGAACTATGACTGAGCTCAGCTCTCCTGTACATCAGCTTCATGATGAAGAATATATAGTTGCCAACACGTGACTGTGGGGCTATGGAGGAAGGAATTCCTCTATATTATTCCTCTATATTCTTCATGTATGTGTGTGTATATGTGTATGTGTATATATATATACACATATATATGTACATCAGGGATCTCAACGCCACAATCCCACACTAAATGGGAAGGCGAGCACCAAGCGTGACCCTCCCTTGTGAAGTTTCGTGCTCCCTCCCAGCCTGTCTCTCCGTCCCCACACCCCGGCGTCACCTTCCTCCTTCTGATTCCCGCTTCCCCCTTCCCCGAACCCACACCCGCACCCCAGACACGGCCCCTCCGGGCAGCGAGCGCGACACCCCCGGCCCGGCCCTCACCTCGTCCTCCTTGTGGTTGCGGATACCGCGCACCAGGTCCTGCAGGTTCTTGTCAAACATGCGGTCGATGCTGCCCTTCACCATCTTCAGCGCCATGGCGGCGGCGGGGCCTGCGCCGGGCTGAGGGGGCCGGGCCCGGCCGGGGTGGGGGGCGGGGGGGCCGCCGCGGTGCTGCTGCCGCTCGGAGCCGGGTGCGAGCAGCCGTGCCGGACGCTCACATGCCGGGGGGCTCTGAAGGGCTCAGTGGGCGCGGGCGGTGCGGCCCCGGCGGGCGGGAGGGCGGGCAGGGCAGGGGCGGCCCCGGCCGCGGACGCAGCTCCGGGCGGCGCTGGGCTCCGGCGCCGACAAAATGGCGGCCGGTCAGCTGAGGGCGAGGCCACGCCCCCGGTACGGCCACGCCCCCCCGAGCGGCCACGCCCCCGCCTCTGTCAGCCGCGCCGCGCTCTCTGCCCACGCCCACTCCACTCAGGCCGCGCCCACGCGTGTGGACACGCCCCCAACGGCCCCTGGCGCGCGCCTGGCTCGCCGATCTCCAGCCCCGCCCCCCGACCCATGGACACGCCTCTGCTGTATGGACACGCCCCCCGGATGGGCGGTCACGCCCTCTCGCCCCGCCCCTGCTGGCTCTGCTCGCCTCGCCCCCTCTCTAGACACGCCCCTGCCCGCCCTGGCCGCGCCCCTCTCCCACATGACCACGCCCCATAGTCCGAGGGCAGCTGCTCAGCCCCGCCCACTCCAATTGGGCCACGCCCCCAAGGTCATCATGGCCACGCCCCCACCCGACTGGCCACGCCCCCGGCACATCCTGGCCAGGCCCCTGCCCGCATGGCCACGCCCCCGTAGCCAGCCCTCCGTCTACACATCGCTCGTCAGTCCCGCCCACTCAATTAGGCCACGCCCAGCCCATCTGGCCACGCCTTCGCATGATCACGTACCGGAGCCCACCTGGCCACGCCTCCTGCCCGTATGACCACGCCCCCGATCTTGCCCCGCCCACCGCTCCGATCTCCAGTCCCTCCTACTTTGACCAGGCCACGCCCACTCCACTCAGGCTCCGCCCATCGGAGGCACAAGGGCCGGGGGTCTCGCCCTCCCGTCCCATGGGATGGGAGCCACAGCAAACACCGACCCGTAAAGGAAAACCCCAACCCAGGAAGCGCTTGGAGTGTTCAATGCGCCGCAGGACCCGGCCGAGAGGCCCGTGGGGTCCTGGGCTGTGTGAGGAGGAGCGTTGGCAGAGGGTCGGGGGTTCCTGCCCTTCCTCAGCCCTGGGGGGCTCCCCAGGAGTGCTGTGTCCAGGTCTGGGCTCCTCTGGACAAGAAGGAGCTCCTGCAGCGAGTCCAGTGAAGGCTGTGAGGATGAGGAGGGGCCTGGAGCATCTCTCTCCTGAGGAAAGGCTGAGGGAGCTGGGGCTGCTCAGCATCCAGAGCAGACTGGGAGGGGCCCTCCCCAGGCTGTGTCAGGGGCTGCAGGGAGGGGGCAGAGGACGGACCAGGCTCTGCTGGGGGGGCCCAGCAATGGCACGAGAGGAACGGGCAGGAGCTGATGCCCAGGAAGTTCCAGCTGGACATGAGGGAGAACTTCTTCCCTGTGCAGTGACCGAGCTCTGAGCAGGCTGCCCAGGGAGGGGTGGAGTGTCCCTCACTGGGAATATTCCAGACCCCTCTGGGGGGACACAATCCTGTGCTGTGTGCTCTGGGATGGCCCTGCTGGAGCAAGGAGGTGGGACCAGGAGACCCACAGTGGTCTCTTCCAGCCTGACCCATCCTGGGATTCTGGGATTCATCCCCGCCAGTCACGGCTGCCCTTGGCCCCGCAGGTCCCTCCCTGGGGACATGGGGCCCTCCATGGGGATGAGATCCTTCCACGGGCATGGGGATCCTTCCATGGGGATGAGATCCTTCCACGGGCATGGGGATCCTTCCATGGGGATGGGGATCCTTCCATGGGAATGGGATCCCTCCGTGGGTAAGGGAACCCCTCCCTGTGTATGGGGATCCAGGTCCTCTGTGGGGTTGAGGGTCCCTCCATGGGGACAGGGATCCCTCCATAAGATTGGGGATCCCTCCGTGGGGATGGGGGTCCCTCCGTAGGGGTGAGGAACCCTCCATGGGGACGGGGGTCACTCCATGGGTCTACAGGTCCTCTGTGGGGCTGGTGATCCCTCTGTGGGGCTGGGGGTCCCTCATGAGGTTGGCAGTCCCTGGGATGGGCTGGCAGAGCCCCCTCTCCCCCCTGGCCCTGGGTGTCGGCCGTGTCTTTAGGGGGCTGCAGCTCCTCCTGCCACCCCCGGGCACCCTCTGCCCCCAGACGCCCGGGCGGGCAGTGTCACTGTGGGGGGAGCTGGGACAGCTGGTGGGTGACCCGGTGGGTGACACGGGGCCTCGTGGGTGGCACCACACGGGTGGGCACGGAGCGGGCAGTTTGTCTTCTCCCCGCGTCCCAAACAGCCCTGTCCCCTCCCCGGGCTGTCCCAGTGCAGGGGCGGTGCCAGGGACGGGAGAGGAGCCGCTCTCCCACCCCACCTTCACCCCAGAGCAGCATTCCAGCGTCTGGGAAAGGAGGGGAACAATCAGAGAGGAGCCTGCAGACAGAAAGGAGCCGTGACCTTGCCAGGATCCACCTGGGACTCTGAGCCGCTTCGCCACCGGGGAAGGAAAAGGATCGCCGGTGCTTCCAGGGGTTTTTCCTTTGTTCTCTGCCCTCAGCCCCGGCCCGGTCTGTGTTGGCCCCGGGCAGGAGCAGAGCCCTGTTCAGGAATAGCTGCTCCCAGCAGCCCCACACGGACGGTTCCCTTTCTAAGGGAAAAAGGGAAAGGGAAGAGTTATTTTCATGGGAGTCCTTGAGGTGTGGAAAACATCCAGGTACGAGGGTGAGGAGGTGGGCTGGGAAGGGGTGGCTGTGCCCCCCTGTGCTGCCACTGTCCCCTGCACTGTCCCCCTGCCTCTGCTGGCACTGCCCGACGAGGGGCTCCCCAAAAACCTTGGGAAAAGCCCTGGGATTGCCCCAGCCCACTGTCACACTGTCACTGTGTCAGCAGGACAGGGCCAGGCAGGGAAGGCCAGGCTGGGGGGGCAGCACCCAGGGTGTGGGGAACACCTGCAGGTGGATTTGGCTCCCAGACTCGATCCCTGCAGACTGAGCTCCCAAGAATTTCTCCTCCTGACTTGGTTCAGCCTTAAAACTTTCATTTGGGGCAGGAATGACTTTTTCTTCCTGCAGACCAAGGAGAGTTTGGGGGGATTCCTTTACAGCACCTTTAACAGGGAGCAGGGCTCTAACCCCCATCACTGCCATTGGTGAACCCTAAACCTTCAAATTCCCAGCTTTCCTTAGCTAATTCCTAAAGCTTAGAATTCCCAGCTTTCCTCAGCTAATACCTAAAGCTTCAAATTCCCAGCTTGGCATAGGTAATAACTAGAGCTTCAAATTTCCAGGTTTTGTCTTTTCTGGCTTTTGCAGCTCAGATTTATTTTTTTAATATATAAACGACGCCACCTCCTGTTTTTCCTGTTGTATTTTCCCAGGGAAGGAACTTTCCTGCTCCAGCTGCATCTCCTGGATGGATCCCTAAGGAATGCTGTACCATGGGAGAGCTCTGAGAGGAGCTACTGAGTCCCAGTGTGGGTGGGAAAACAAAATCCCGGCCATCACAACCCTGATAGAGCTGCTGGTTTGGGCCTGATCCTCTTTTCCCCCATGGCAGCACTTCCAAGAGCTTTCTTCCCATTCCTGGCACTGGGAACACTCCAAGGGTTTCACATCCTGATGAGGTTTAACGAGGTTTTACTCGAGTTACATTAATTGTGATTTTTGTGTAAAGGGTTCTGGGGGGGAAAAGTGTGAAATTGGGGCTGTTCAGCACCTGGGGGTCCAACTGAAGTGCCCATTCTGGGGTGCCCATGCCAGGCTGCCCCATGCCCAGGTGCCCATGTTGGGGTCCCCTGGCAGGGGGTGCCTGTGTTGGAGGGTCCTCACCAGGATTCCTGTGCCAGGTGCCCCTCCTGGGGTGTCCCATGTTGGGCTGTCCTTGGTGGGACACCCAGGGTGAGATGACTGTGCCAGGGTGCCCTGTCCCCCGGGGACACTACTGGGGTGCCCATATTGGGGTGCCCCCCTTGCAGTCCCTGGACTGCAGTGCCTGTGACAGGATGCCCGTTTTGGGGTGCCCATTTTTGGGTGCCTACATTTGGGTGCCCGTTTTGGGGTACCCTTTTGGGGTGCCTGTTTTTGAGGTGCCTGTGTTGGAGTGTCTGTGTCGGGATTCCCATGTCAGGGTGCCCTTACTGGGGTGCCCGTGTCCAGGTGCCCTGTGCAGATGGGACAGTTGGGGATATGTGACCCTGGGAAGGTGACACTGAGCCTGGCTGGTCCAGCATCACAGTCCTGAGGTCACCCCAAAATAGGGCACCCCACCACGGGCACCCCAATGTGGGCACAGGAATCCTGGCAAGGGCACCCGAAAATGGGCACCCCAATATGGGCACCTGAGTATGGGGAACTCCAGCATGGGCACCCCAAGATGGGCACCCCACCAAGGGCATCCTGTCATGGGCACCTCAGTTTGGGGATGGCAATATGGGCACCCCAATATGGGGCACCCAGGAACGGGTCAGCCCAACACAGGCGCCCCAAAATGGGCATCCTGTCACAGGCGCCTCAGTTTGGGCACCTGTAGTGGTTTGAACCTTGTTCTCCCCAGAGGCTAAGAGAAGTGGTAGACCCCAAGGGGTGGAAACCCCTGGAAGTTTTGAAATTCTGCCCAATGGGCGCTCCTGCAGAAATGGCGCCCACGAAAAGCCCCTTGGGCCCTCTGGCAGCCCCTGGCCTGTCAGCATAAAGGCGCCTGCCGGGAGATGTTCCATGACAGCACCCCAATATGGGCACCGCAATACTGTCACCTGGGGACAGGGCACCCTGGCTGTCCCATCAAGGACACCCCAATATGGGCACCCCAATACAGTTACCTGGGGACAGGGCACCCCAATGCAGCCACTCTGACCTGGGGCATCCCATCATGGGCATCCCACCAAGGACACCCCAGCACGGGCACCCCAAAATGGGCATCCTCTCATGGGCATCTCAGTTTGGGCACCCCAATATGGGCACTCCAGTACTGTCACCTGGGCACAGGACACCCTGACAGACCCTGTCATGGGCACCCCAACACGGGGCACCCCAATATGGGCACCCAGCACCCCCCTGGTGCCCGGGCCGGCAGGGAGGGGCAGGGCCGTGCCGTGGGGTGGTGGCACCCTGAGCTCCAGGGTGACCCCCCGGGTGCCCTCGGGCGGGCGGTGGGTGAGCCCTGCCCTTCCCTG